GTATTGGCCCAAGTTTGGGTTCAAAGCGGCGAAGTTTATATTCTAGGGCCAATTCTCCAGTCTAGAAGCCCTGATGTTTAATTCAAGCATGTTGCCCAGTTTCTTCTTGCGAGAAGACATGAGGTAGCAAATCGAAATTCATCCCATGACGATAATGTTTTAGAGAATACTCTCTGCTCCAATGAAGGAATGACCGATGAACTTAGAACGCAGTTCCTCGAAATGCACAACTACAGAAGGTCCAAATTTAGTTTCTTTAATAGGAACTATTCAAAGAGGTTATGCTTTTTTAGAAGCTTACTGGCAAAGGGCCAAGTTCAGAGACCGAGTGGGAGACATCTGCCAACGGGAGCCAATATCCTAAAATTGGTACTGTTTGTGATATACTGTCCAGAATTCATTCATTCTGCAAACAATTCTGATGTAATTGTAATTTTCCAGAACCTTAATTGCTCTATGGAAAAAGAAGCTATTGAAGAAGTACGAACTTGTCCCACTGTTAAGAAAGCGCATAGTACATATGGTAAAAACTTTGATACCTTCTCATCGAGTACGGCTATATCGAGCTACAAAGATGCAGTTGAAAAGGTTGGCAAATATACTAAGTTTTCATCTGTAAAGTACAATGATGAAGGCTGTGACAAATTGGTGGAAAGTGGTTCGTACGGACAACACGGGGCCAGGAATGCAAGTAACATTCCGTGATCATCATGTTGGTAAAGCTGTAGAAACGTATACACAGGTAAAAAATTACTTTCTGAAGTGTTATTTATTTTGATGATGAGCTTCAAAAATTATGAAAAGATAAGGAAAAGAGTTCATTTTCATTGTATTCACATGAATGTTCTACGGTTGTGCACCTTGCAAGATTTTTCTAGTCACTGCCTTTACAGATTGCCTGGGCTAATACAAAAGACCTTGGATGTGCTATAGCCAAATGCCAATCTTCCTACACCGCCATATGTCTATATAGCCCAAAGTACGTTGCACTTCGCTCGCCTAACAAGCATACTGTGAGAACTTTGCAGAGGTAATATTCCGAACGAAGTGCTATACAAGACCGGAGGGACTTGCTCTGCTTGTCCAAGTGGGACGAAATGCGACAGCGGTCTTGGGCTGTGTGTTTAGGCT